AGTTGAATACGAGAAAAGAAATTTCATCAGTATACTTTAAAAGCAACCCATTACTATTTTTCTTATTATATAAACACCTTAAGCATTTACTGACTTGACAATTTCGACAAACGAGCTCGATTGAGAATGGTGAATGATTTGCCAATCATTATTCAACCTGACGGGGTGGCGTGAGAGGCGAGTGACGTGTCAGAAGCTAATTGGCAATATCGGACATAGGTAAATTGATGTAACGTAATTTACGCTGTTACGGCTTTCCTCAGGGCCAAAAATTCTTTGTTAAAAACGAAGTTTACATAATGAAACCAAAGATGTGGCAATGCCCCCACCGCACCACGGTTTCCTTAAACGTACCCCTGAAATCGAAATTTGTTTGCTCACAAGTTTGAACAAGTCGAAATGTCGACGTCTCACTAAACTAACCCTCTCAACCTCTTACACGTAACAGAACTATTTCCAGAATACATGACAAGCTTTGCTCAAGGAAAAAATTCTCACCAGGGAAGCGTAAAATGATCCATTGGCTTGTCAATGTTAAGCGAAAGGACTCATTTAGCAAGTGAAAGTGAGGTGTTTGGCTTCAATCGTGAGAAGAGGTGTGTAAACAATAATTATCCACATTATGGACTCTGGGGATTCCAGCAACGAGACTCGATGTATTTCTATGTCTTTTACGCCTGAAAAAGGCTTACACAACACCCGCGGCGCGTTCGGTCGCTTCGAGAAGACCTCAAAAATAATGAAAAAAAAATACCTACAAAACGGGCTCTAAGGTCATCTCAGGTAAGTAACCTAGAATATTCAGGATATTTGCTTTTTTCCATCCCCGGAAGATAAACATTATTGTTTTGATCGATCGTGAAGTTCAGGTCTCAAAAGTGGCTCTGCTTTCCACCAACAGACGGCAGCTAAAAATCTACAAGGAACTCGAGTGGTTGACACACAAACATTTGCACAAGGCCTCAAGGAATGTTAATTTTTGTAAGCGAGGTAAATATGAACAATTTTTATTTTTTACAACAATAATAACCGAGTGACACGTACTATGAGAATTATATTTGCCATAATGCTGCATTTGGATGAGGCTTGCAAGGATTCCTCGAAATGAATGGCTTAAAGATATGTACCTCATTATCTTGCACGGAGCAACTATAGAATACAGGGCCACTGATGTCCAGTAGTGTCCAAGAATGTCGCAAGTCCGAAATAAACATGTCAATCGAATACTCGTGGTCCGCAATTCGAAATTCTACGCATGCTCAAATACCGATCTTAGCGAATTTCTATTCCATTACGTAATGTTTTGCGACATAGAAAATAGGGATCTTTCGAGTAAAATTTATTGCGTTTCCTTCGATGGAATATCCTAAGATTTGCTGAACCGTTAAACATATTTGTGACCTTTCTTGTGCCTGTTAATTAAAAAAAATTCATAGAACCAAATTGAGATAGACGAAGAAAACACAAAATTGCGAACAGCGAGAAAACTCACTTTGTATCTTCTATTTCTTGCGGCTTTTAAATGATCGGCAGGACAATTTTCACAACATGTGAAAATTATGAGAGATTTCACCGGAGATAATTGAAGAAAATCAAAGGTAAAGCCAAATTATCACTGGCGAGCGCCTCCCTTCGTGGAACCTTAGCTTAGTAGCGAAAATAATTTTCTTAACATTTACTACGGCCAACGATTGATAGTCCGAACCTTGCTCATCGCCTTTTGATAGCTTTTAATAACATAGAAAAGCGAAAACGTGAAAAATTGTCTAGAAAAACAATACGCTGGCGCGCGCACTAACGTTCACCGAAAATCCTATGAAGCCACCGTAAATATAAACAGGCGCATGTATCCGTGCGCCTTGCTCGTTAGGAGTGCTACGTAAATTTAGGACTCCTTCGCATAATTTTCTCTTTGGAAATAATTACGTTATCATAGCATGAATGGTAATTTCCACAATTGAAGAATGATTCAGCGACAAGAACGGCTTAGCTAAGCCTTAACGTGTTGTGACATTTGAGGATAGCCTGTTTAGACCGCGTGATATGACTATCAAGCAACAGTTGTTGTATCTACAGATTTATTGGTTTGTGACACAAAGAGCGATTGTCTGTTCTGCCACGACAATACCAAAGTTAAATTGTTTCAGCTAACTAATATTCCACTCTGATAACACCTTTGGCTCTGAGTCAGCATGGGGCCGGTGGGCCGCGAGGCGAGGACCTTGTTTTCGAGAGAGATTTTGACTGCACTATGTTCTGGAGATACAGGAGTATCATTTAACGCTTGAAACGATTGGGTTGATATTTTGATAACACATTTCTTGCGTCTATACTAAGGAGCTCTTTAAGTATGAAATATCAAATCAGTTACGTCCCAGACATCAGGTAAGCGCTGGAACTTAATCCCGCCAAATTTCCGTGCGCAGGTATGAGTGTATTCTGCGTTATCGGCAAAAAGGGTTATCGTTCTTTCTTGAATGTAAGGTCTTAATTGTGTATTACTTCGCGAGAAAGAAATTCTATTCGCTGGCCTGACCAATTTGGCGTTAAGGTATGGTTGTGTGCCTGATGATTTCTGTCTGGAGCCATACGATGACGCGCGAAAAATCTCGCTGCTTGGAATGCCGCATTTCGCTACCCGTAAACAACCAAGATGCTTGGGTGCTTAGAATACCCGTATTTCGGTGTGAATCCGTTTCACCTGGTGTTCACAAGGGTACTCTGAAAAGAAGTTTTTTAGTTGAACGCGAGTTTTGAAATGCCAAAGGTTTATTACCTGAAACAATCGAGATGATTGGGTGCTTAGAATACCCGTATTTCATTGTGAATCCATTTCATCTGGTGCTTACACGAGGGTACTCGGAAAAGAAGTTTTTAGGTTGAACGCGAGTTTTGAAATGCCAAAGGTTCAAACAATGGAGATGCTTGGGTGCTTAGAATACCCGTATTTCGGTGTGAATCCATTTCAACTAGTGTTTACAAGGGTACTCTGAAAAGAAGTTTTTAAGTTGAACGTGAGTTTTGAAATGCCAAAGGTTAAGATTGACGCCTCCGGAAAAAGACGCATCCGTTCGACTAATTCACACCTCTTTGGTTGATCAGTCGGAAGCCACCTATGTGAAGTATCTGGTTACTATGCAAATAGTTTGTGCATAGTCGCGTCGATGGGTTCTTCGAAGTTACAATTCCTGTCTATTTTCTGGTGAAGTTCGAGAACCACCTACGGATGACTAGGGAAACGTGCGAGTTGTTGTTGTTCCCATGTATCCACGTGAATTCAGGTTCGGCAGAAAGACTACACCCAACATCTGTCGCGGATGGAACACACACTTTGGTTTCGATAATTCCGGAAATTCCATCCAAGAGGGCACACTCAAAACGTTTTCCTAACTTTTCGAAAACTTATCCCGGAGCTTTTCCCGTTCCATTCGATTTCAGACCGGAAATCTCGAAAATTTTGGTCGAATGGAAAGCGCCCCTGGTCGCTCTCACGCTAAAATTTCGAACACATGGAGAGATCACCGACTCCGATCCTGAATGAGAAAACAGTTTGATATCCGTGGCAATAGCATAACTTGGGATATCCACTCCAACTAAAGACTGAAGGAACTCCATCAATCTTAGAGGTTAATTTCCGTGCAATCTCTGCAATTTGACCGTTGCGAAATAGTATCGTTCTTTAAGAGCGTCGATGAATAGAAGAATCGTTATTGATTAGCGAGCTAAGGCTGCTCGTAAAAAAACATCCTTATGAAGGTCCTTGAAATGACTTACCCGCCTAAGCTTGTGTGATCTTCCATCATACAACCAAGCAAACGCTTCATTGTTTTCTTGATCTTGTCTGTACGAAACCAAGAAGCTCCGAATCCCTTCCACACCTCGAGCGCGGGGCTGTGTTATTATGCCTTTAATTCGAAAGGGCCTGGGAAATTCGACTTGAATAAACTCCTTATGGATAGAATCTGTACCATTATAATACGGCTGCTGATCAGGGCACCACCCCCCATAGCCTCCTGTATGATTCAGTCTACCATGAATAGCACTAGCACTTGCATTCAAAGAAGACGTAGCACGAATATCTATATCTCTGATACCTCCATCTTCCATTCCCAAAGGTGAAAAACAATCTTTAAAAAGAAAGTAAAATGAAAGACAGAAGAGTTATCAAAATATAATAGAGCCGGAGAAGTCTGATAAATAAAGAGAGTACCTTTTATATATACTTTTCTTTTTAAACGTTTTTGTTGTTTGGATTAATGATATTATCATGTGATTTGCCTAATATGAATGGCTTAATGGATTGCAAAAGGGTACCAGGAGTGCTGTTTTTGTGGGAAAAGGCTGAATGGTATAATTCGGCGCTAGTTTGATTTTTTTCTTACGGATATTTAGCAGTGAAATCCATAATAACTGAGCGGGGAATGTTGCATGCAAGAAGTTGGATAGGCCGGTACGATTTTGCTTTGCCAGTGTATAGGGTCATTAGTTTGGTCAGTAAAAAGCAAGTTTGTTTCATTCTTCAATAATTTGAATTAAAAGCAATATAGTGGCTTTGTCTAATTATTCCCTGTCGCCTGCTTGGGTTTTGGGTTTCTTTCGCGTCAAGATAAGATAATTTTAAGATAAGAATAAAATTAACATAATTATATCTATATATGTATGCAATGTGTTCTGCAACTCTATTCGAAAACTAACCAAGGGTAGCATTCGTGTGGTCGCTAATCAGAAAAGAAAGGAAAATACGGAGCGTTTGACTGATTGCCCTCTTTTTTTTCATTATTCCGGTTGTTCTTTTGTTTCTGAAACCACGTTAGTGAAAGACAAAATTCTTATTAACCCCACGAGCAGCCTTAAAATTAAGCATCTCTCTTTGTCTATTTCTACGTAGGGCCTTTGATCGTGTGCCCATTTACGGAAACATGCACGCGTTTGGTTGGTCTGCAGATTCTAGGCTGTTGTTTCCCACAAGCAAACTGACAAATTATTGAAGCACGCCGCGTGATATGTTAACATAAACCCCTAGGCCATTTTTAAGAATGGTAAAGAGGAAGTGAAGCACCCGGAAAGTGTTTACAAACAGTTTGTGCAGTGGTGGCTAATTTATGGTTGTTTTACAAAAAAAGAGCAGTGGGTACCAATGGAGTGATGGCTTTTACAGCCAACGGTTAAAATTTTGGCCAATTCTTCTGAAAGGTTAACATTTTATTCCGAAACACATTTACAACCGGTCGTTTGCTTCAGTCAATTTTGGGATAAAAACAAAATACGTGAACAACGCCTGTAATTACGGCGCTATAAGAATTGAAATGAACAAATGTAACACGCTACTTCAATAACAATATTACTATTTGTATAAACGTATAATATATATGAAACAGTACTGCGGTAAACAAAACTCAGCAAAATGAAAGCTAATGAAACTTCTAACGACGAAATAAATTCGCCGATATCCTAAAATTGGTAATTCCAAAAAGCTCTGTAACAAATCTGATCAAAGTGATCTAAGGCAATGATTGAAAGATACAATTTCCAGCGTGCAATCAGGGATTTTCGGCGACAATTTCATTTTCAGCTTAATATGTCGGGGAAAACCCCAGACGATCAGCGATTTCCTGTTTCCTGACCCTCCCGGGTTTGATATATTCATTAGAGACGCCATTTTATCAGTGACTCACTCCCTGACACTGGAAGAGGCGAAAAAACGATAACATTAAAAAGGAAATTTTGAATCACAAATAAATGTTTTAAGGACCCTCGCCACTTCCTTTTTTGGCCACAGGTATGGACATTTTAGGTGGCTGTAATTTGACCTTGTTCGGCTTCTATTTCACTAAATTTGGAATTTTGTTGATGAAAGTGGGTGCAAGCCCGTTTTTGAAGTTTTGGATACCCTGGCCAGTTATCGTTAGGTCGGCAAGCGTTTCTCTGTGATTAGTTATAAGAGTCGGTGGTTCTAACAAGCAAAATTGAACAAAGTCAAAGTTTACAGTCCGATTTTCTCCGAATTGTGTGTTCGCCATCTAGCGCGATTGGAGGCCTAAGGCTATTACACGAAATCGCACCATCGCGTAATATGTTTTAAAAGTCTAGTTCATTATATCGTTTGGAAGAAAAAAAAAAAAAAGAAAAAAATAGGTAAAAAGGAATTTTCGAAGAAAAAAACAAGGTATGTTACCAAGCAATCGAACCAGCAATCCTCGCCTTCCGAACCAACTTTACAGTTTCCGGCACGGTTCGTGAGTGCACTTTGAAGTAGTGTTTCTTTCTTACCCACTTATACACCCGTTGGCATAGAGCTTTACTCGCTATGTTAGTGAAACTGTACTTCTTTAAGCCTACGGTTCTAAGACATATCAAAGCAACTTGGAGAAGCGCGTGATTTAAAAGTTTTTCCCTCCGTTGCTTAGGGAAACATTGTAGTCTTAGTGGTCCTTTAATCACTGTAGTAACTATTTGCAAATCTCCAATACTTTGAGAGAAAACGAACCGAACATAGGTCGATACATTTTGATCAGAACTAGTATGTAATATGGTTCGGATGTCGTTTGATCATGATCCAGGAGACTCAGGAGCAAATAATCAGGCGAAAGGAAAGAAATTGGCGGTTTCGGTTCGACGCGAAAGTTGACATGACCTGCACCACCTAGGATAATTACCTTGAGGAATGTCTTGTCCAGAACACAGCACATTAAAACACCCAATGACGAGATGAATGCGAAACATTCTTGAACTGATCATTCTAAAGCGCTCTGAAACAAATATAAACCAAGTGATTAACAACGCAGGAAATGTTTAGCTTCCACTTTGCCCAACCCCTCTTTCCGGTGACAATTTGATATCTTTCATTCCGCCTCTAGGAATTAATGCCACATAAATCTAGTCAGTTAGATTCGCAGTGGTTATAGAGAACACGCTATTATTTATAGTCGGCCACGATGTCTCTTGCTCTGTAACGTCATTTGGTTCAAGTTTTTCTATCTATTATTTTATCTAGAGCCACAGAATTTATGGAATCGTGTCTCAACAACTGTGATCAGTAGTTCAAAGGGCGGCGGATGACGCAGAGGGTTCCAACATAGATTTAGCGGTATGCGGGATGAGGCTTAAAATCGAGGCAAGATGTGCGATATGAGAAATTTCAAAGGTAAGATGCAGGATGAAAATAAGAAGGCGAGACCGAGATATGCTCCGTTTCGAAGGCGGAATAGGGAATAGGATGGGTATGGGCGGGATCATAATTTAGCTCAAGGTACGAGTCACACGACCTCAGAGACATCAAAAAAATATTTATTTGTTTTATAAACGGCTTAATTCATGCTCCTGTGTAAATTGGGGTTGACTGTCCTCAATAACTCCGTAATACGTGCAGTTGCCAAGTGTTGATAGACACACACGGTTTTATTGTATGTTATCATTAGGGTGGAGTGGGGAGGAGGAAGGGCATACAATGTTTATGCCCACAGCTTGTGGCATATTTGTGAAACTTCCTTTTTCTTTAAAGCTCTGTGCTTTGATTCTTCGATGATTGAAATAGGCAAGACTGCTGATCAAACACTACATAACTCGCTTGCATTTGATTTTAAGTCATATCTTCGCTATTTCCAAATTGAAACGTGTACCCATAGTAATTTTGATTTAACTTTATTTCATGCACGAGGATCTACCCCTCAGGTACAATAGCTTTATTTTATTTATATTTCTCTTCCCGGTCTCTGATTTCTAATTGTAGATTTCTGTCTTACTTTAGTTTCTGTTTCATTTCGTAACTTTCATATTGTAACGCCACGCCTCAAGTATGATCGGAATGTCGTCGCGAATCATATAAAATTGTAGTTATCTTTGTGTTTCAGAATTACTAAATATTACAGGAGTCCTCTTGTTGAATCGTGTGTTTGTCTGTACCATTCAAGAATTTAGTTGTATCTTTTAGATATGCATTCTAATGAAGTGCGATCGGCTGAAGAATTTGCTAGCTTTTCTATCACTACCCCAGTAGGTGGAGTACTTTTGTCTCGCTTATAAAGGCTATCAACAAACCGAAGAACAACTGATTATTTTTAGCCGACTCAATATGCCATTACCAAGTCTTTGCCTTTCTCCATAATCATACAGGAGAGTACATTATCGATATTGTAAAGGGCTATGATTTGTCCATCAGTTTTAATAAGGCGGTGAACAAGACCGAGAGCAGTTGTAGCACTCTTTTATATTACCAAGCCAGGAGGAAAAGGTTTTGTTGAGTTATTTCGTGGCGATTTATAGCTAATATTTCTAAATTTCGAGACCATTACGCGATGTCAATTTCACAATAAAACTTGGGCATGGAGAAAAGTTAATCGGTAAATTTTCCTTAACATATTTCATGGTTGTTGAAACAAAAACTTACGCTTTCCTTGTATCAACATCACCCAAATCCATTACTGATAAAAAGCAATAATCTCTCTCCAAAATTGTTTTTTGGACGTCAAAACAACCTTTCACAGACATCTTTCCAGCGAGTTGCAATGTTTGCCTTGTGACGATCCCAGAAATCTTTGCGCAAACACAAGGATCCGATTGAAGGCAACTCTTCACTCTCTTTTACGGGGGTGTAACTTAGGGGGTGAGGGGTGAGAATAGGTGACAGTGGGTAGGGGGTGAGGAGTACAATGTGCGATCCACGTGAAGCAAACTCATATTGCTCGATACAGTGAGAACTTCAACTTTATTGACTGGTTAAAAGTAAAATAGTCTAAGTTTGTATTGCTTTTTTGTGTTGAGACGTGTCAAGATCTTTGAAAGCGAAATTTGCTTGGGGCAGGTTCACTACAGCTCCAACCAAACGATTTAATATTGTCACATATGCGTAAAAGTGTAAGACTGAAACAAAAAAAACTCATCCAACATAACTTGGACGCACAACATTGTAACTTTGTGGATTAACCAGGGTTATTAATTTCGAAACACCAGGGCTTTGGATAGTTTGTTGATGATACTAGGAGGTTAATGTCGCTATTTTCTAGAAAAACGTTGTTCTCTTTAAGATATGAATCGCCAAATTATAACAAACTGTAAGCAAAATTCTGGATAAACTTCAAGAGTAATTAACGAATTTACCATACTGGTTTTTGAAAAACCGTGCCCTAGGCTTCTTTGCAGCAAATACAGGACGCGACATCGTAACTTTAGACAACGAGCCGAAGATTCCAAGTGTCTAGCATCGTGACACCCTCCCCCCCGGAATAGATATCCCGGTAACTCATTCATCATGTGACCATATGCTAACGCGGTATGAAATGGGTAAACAAGAATTCAAAAATAGATGGATGCCCAGGGATGTTTCCTCGAGCTGGAAAAACAAACTGGGTATGGGCGCATGATCTTTAAATATTGCAAAAAAAAAACCCAAACAAACAAACAAACAAACGCATAAAACGAACACAAAAGGGAAGTGAATGTATTTAAAAGAGAGAGTTTGGCACTTTCTTGATTATAGGTTAGATTGAAGCTATATTTTGCACATTTCACTTTTTCAATTACAACAAAGATGTCATTCCCCTTCTCTTTCGTCAAACCTAAGAAAATTCAAAGTAAAATGCAAAATTATAAAAAATTAGCAGAAAAATCAAATAGTTTCAAAACGAATAAGAGCGTAACAAACATAACTATGTGTCAAATCGTATATTAATTGCAAACGATTGAAATCTTTGGGCCGGTTATTTAAACAAAGTTTGGCCGTTGTTTGACAAAACTGCAATCTAACCTATCTTGAATTTGGCTGATTCTTTTAGGTGAGGGTCGAAAGCTAAATTATTATTCAACATTATTTAATAACAACAACTCTCTTCTAGAGAATATTTAAGGCCCACTTGTCACGTAAAACCGCCGTTTGGCTTAGAACTAGTGTCATTCAGTAACCGGCTCTTAAAGTTTAAAGAATAGTCTAAAATGATAACTTCGCACGGATTGAGTTACATTGTTTGTTTAGCAGTAGTTTCAGTTCTTTGCTAAAAAGCATATCAAAAATAAGACACTCAAGTTTGTTTTGGCAATTTCCTAGGATGTTCAAACTCCGTGAGATGTCAGTCGTCCGGTTCCATGTCATGCTCCTTTATGAGATGGTCTCCGATCACCGATCCCGTTTGTGATCCTCAATGCGTTGATTTAAGTACTGTCATGTGTATCCGAAAATAAAGTGCATCATACAGATCACGCATGAAAAAAGAAAAATAAACAACAGATTGCTGACACACAAAGAGCGGTTCCTCTTCCTTCAATCTGATCTCGTTCTTTATCTCAGTTTCGACTTGTCTTAACCGGGCTGATTTCTGTGTTCATCTTGCAATTGAGATCTACAAGTCGTCTTCTTTCCGAGTTTGCCGACTTCTCAATGTTCCTTGTAGGGAAAACACGATTCTGGGAACTTCTTACTTCTCAGTCGCTTGAGCACGAGATGCATCTGATATCATTATATCAATAAAATGATGAATGGTAGATTGCACAAGTTTTTCCGGGTAGCGCAACTGAGAAAAGGTCTGGAAATATTCAGAAACAGTTGCCGACGGGCACCGTACCGTTATTAGCTTATCGTAAATATTTTTAACGGGCGCTGTTGAAAACAATGCCCAACCGTGCATTCAAAGTTTCACTCATTTGCGTACTTTTCCATTTTGGGGAAAATTTTCCGCTGCCACCCCTTATGAGTCAGCAACAGGTTGATGTGACCTGTGTGATGCATATGATGCTGGCTTTGTCAAATACTCATGCCAAATTATTCAGGAACACAAAGGGTCGGTGATTGGAGACCAGCTCAGAAAACGACATGGCATGGAGCCGGGGAACATCAAGCGAAGTTTGAACATTTTAAGAAAGTGCGAGAACAACCTTGTCTGTCTTATTTTTGAAATGCTTTTGGAGTAACTGCAGAATACCCTGCCACTTTGGTCCACCTCATTTACATGTGTCGCGAGGCTTCAAGAACGAGGCATAACACAATGGATGCTATTCTTATTCAATGACATGTAAATGAGTGGCAGGGTATTCAGCAGTTTAGCCATGCTTTTTAACCACCGCTAAACAAACAGTGTAGCTCAAGCACCGCAAAATTATATTTCACTATTCTTGTACCTTATAAATATTTTGATTAGTTGTAATTATACAATTTTAACAAACCGTAATGCCTGTTGCATTCTCATCTGTTTTTAATAGCATTATATTTACACGACAATTGTTCGTAAACATAACTTGTCATATTTTAATAGACCCTAATAAAGGAAATCGGAGAGGTCGAAACGTCTTTCCTTTTCATCGCTAGTTTTTATTATGTTTAAGAATATGTCTTTTTCAACTAGAGAACTCGCTATACCCGAATATTTGCATCGGAAACAGTGAAGGAAGCTGGTGGTTACAACTCTTCGGGCCGTTTATTCAGTTTCAACAAAGTTTAGCCGAGGTTTAACAAAACCGCGTTCTAAACTATCTAGAATTATGCTGAATCTTTTATCTGAACATTCGGTTCGTGAACAGTGTCAAGAGGGCCGAAAGCTAGCAATGAAGGGCATTTATTTAATAAAAACAACCCTCCCCACAAAGATTACGAAAGGCCCTCTGATTGCATAAAACAGCGGTTTGGGTCTGACCTCGTGTAAATAACCGGCCCCTTGTGTTTCTTTACTTCTATAGCAGATTGAAACTAATACTACTATGTAAGCAACAACTGTTGTCAAAGCACAACTGAATCAAGTTAAGTCAACAAGAATGGCCTAATGTCACAATCTCTTTGTTTTCCGTAAGAACCCTCTGTCACACTTTAAGTTAAGGAACAGAGGAGGAGAAGAAAATTTAATTTAGGCCTTTTTCATATGGCCACCCTTGTGTAGCGTATGTGCAGCTGTTGAAATAATCCGTTGAGGGACAAATCAAAGAGGGTCATTGAAAAATAAGCAAAACTGTAGAGATAACAATTCTGACTTGTTACTTAATTCAGGTTTGAGTTAATCAAATCCCTGATATGATTGCTTCAATTAAAATAAACTCTGTCAGTGTCGTTGCTATTTTACTTCAACCATAATCTATTTTCTCTTTATCCGTTTGTTAAGTTTTGCATTTTTACTCTATAATTCATAATAACCAAAGTCCCTACAACTACTTTTGTAATTAGATGATATAGCTTGACAAACCAACTCCATTGTCTCCATTGGAGATTTTAATTCGCCGATCAGGACTGTCGGCGAAATCGAAAGGGACAGATAACGGCTGAGATAGCAGTCTTTGCCGATTGCCCCATCGGGTGTATGAAAACACCGATTACAGGTAGATAATGATAGTGATCCGATATGACATGTATGGCGTGCTTTTTTTTACTTTTCCTTAAGCATTAGCACAGGAAAATTGGGTGAGAACCGACAGGAAGTAAATGCAAGCACGAGAAAGAGAAATAGACCAAATAGAGCAGGCCCCGGTTGTTCGAAGGTCGGATAACGCTATCCGCAGGATAGATCTCGATCCGGTGGATGACGCCATATGTTTTGCTATCACTTATCTGCTGGATGGCGATTTATCCGTCGGATAGCTTTATCCGCTCTTTATACAGCTGAGCCCAGTAAGCCTCTCTGCCCAGCTGACGCTTAATCTTAATCTTACTTTAGAGCTTCAACTTATCTCGCGAGCGCAAAACAGGATTAAAATCGTCAAAGGAACGTCACGAATTCTCATGGGTAACGGATTCTTCAGCCGGTGTACTTTGTTGCCATGGATACGACTGTCCTGGAGGTGGAAACTGTGGAATCTGTTCCTCACCAGGGTAGGGTGGTGGCGATTCTAACGGGTATGGGTAATCAGGGGGTGGTATATCTGCGTTTGTTGAAACAGGTTCAGAAGGAGTACGGCGTGATACTATAGCCATTGGAAACCTCTCCGCTGCCTCTCTGTTTCGCCTTCTAACTCGTTCAGCCAAGCAAACGGAAAGGACTATCAGTGCAATAAACACTATGACAGTTACAATAATGGGTGTCATCCAAGCAGGAGACTCTAAAGAGAAAAAGAGAAACAAAAGTCAAATAAGCAGAGTTATCTGAAGCAAGGGTCGTTTCCACGAGGCGTTGAAAAGATAGTCGTGTTGACGGTGCATGAGACGTGCTACAACAGATTCAACCTCTAATTTTTAAAACAAAGGTAGACAACCTGAACTTGATACGGCCTTGAAGGTGGCTTTGAATCCTCTGTGTGGTTTTCTACCCGCATAATCTGTGGCAGAGTAGAACTCAACCCACATATAACGATTACGGTGACTTGAACGAACGTTTTCGGGAATTGTAGTTCCACAGTATTTTCCCAAAGATGTGCCAGACAATGGCATTCCATCTCCAACTTCCACATAATCTCTGCAACCATGATCCAACTGAAATCTCTCGAAGATGAGTTCAACGCTTTGTCCCTCGGGTACAGTGATGAGCCATTCACAAAATAAACCCGGTGGGTAGTAGGTCAACGGACTCTCTAGAATCCCTTCTGATCCGGTCAACCTCAAATCAAAGTTGTGGACGTTATCCGGGTAACATAACTCGCTGGAATTTACAGCTTTAGTTTTCGCTACGGAGTCAGAAAACAATCTTAAGTAAATTCCTTGAAGTGATCCCACGGGGGAAGGGGAAGGGGAATTGGCTTCGGAGAGATTCAGGTGGGGCTGTTCCACCGAGCCTATCAAAATCTGACGTGAAAAAGGTAACCCTTTATGGCAAGATGGCATATAAAATACTTATATGAATACTAGGGACCGACTGGCAACACCGAAGGTGATAACGAAACATAATTTTTTGATGAAGTGGTAGAGCGTCCTCAGAGATTCAAGTTATTCACCACATATTTGATAAATTCAAAGTGAAAAGAGGAATACAAAGATACTCTGGAAACAGTCTTGGTTCAGGGCCATGGACTAAATTCAGTTACACAGGAAAACTTCGAGACAACCAAACTTAAATGTTTTTTTTTCCTACGGTATAATTTAACCGAAAGAGAGATTCTATACTCCTACAAACTCAGCTACTTTATTAAACAACGTGTAATGGATCTCACTAAGTAGGGACACCTGTGGGTATTACAATAGTTATCTTCTAAAAAACTTACTTGAGCCCATTATGGACTATATCTTAGTTTACCACTGACACACACTCACGGCTGCCTCCAAATCTTCTTTAAATGAACAATTTTCCGCAGTATCTCTCTCTCCCTCTATCTCTCTCGGTATAGCTTTCCAGACAGTCGGGCACTCCCAACAAGAACAACTACTCATATTAAACGACTGAGTCCATAGATACATTTACAAAGTATTCTAGGATATTTCCAAAGCTTACAAAACAACTGTTTTAGAAGTCTAACATCATAACTTCATAACCTAATATATTGTTCTCGAAAATTCCATAGTCTGACAGTAGAAAGTTCGTGTATGCATGTCAGCGTGCCTAGGCATTCTAGAAATTTCTAGAAACTTATTTTTTTTAGTCACTATCCATAACACCTTACCGTCCTAATTTGCAATTTGAGCAAAAGTGTCTTTAGGAACAAAAAGTCTTGGAGATGTTATAATCAGTGGTACTTCAAGCCTTTTCCCCTTTCATTTTCCAATAATAACTATCTCTGAAATTACCTATTTAACCCCACAGTTGATGTGGAAGGCGCACCTAAGCACCAGGCAAGCGAGGATCAGCGATAAATCCCAATTTGCTCCTACCTTTTCACGACAAATTAAAAACATTGAACAAGCTAACGAACAAGCTTTACGCCTTAAAAATCATTGGTCTGTTGATAAATAAAATCATAATGTACTTACGTGGTTCCACAGCCTCAAAATGTGCTTTAAATCCAGTATGATACCAAGAGTCCAGAGTGGATTGAAACTTTATCCACATGTACCCCCCAGTCGAGTACACCGCTGACTCACTACTAAATAAGTTGTATCCGTGGTAAACAGCTACCTCTTCACTCGACGACTCTCGCCCATCAAGTATTCGCACGTTGTCCTCCCCGGGAGCAAGATCAAATTTATCAAATGTTAGCTTCACTCTTTTGTTAGCAGGAACGGAAATCACCCAAATACAAATGACATTTTTCGAATAAGGAGTAGGATAGAATGGGGAGAAGAGGGTACCAGAGGAACCAGTGAGGTTACTACGCTCGGTATTCCCTTCTAACAATTGGCATGCTCCAAAGGCTTCCTCTGCAATTGAATGCATCAATAAGAACGTTGAAGCTCGATCTCAGACACTCATTCGCAATCCTTGTCGATATTTACAAACCTCACACATCCTTATTCCGGTATAATTAATTTTTAGGTCTTTGCTGCTCCCTTCCCCCCCTCCCCCCCACCCCGCCGGGAAAAAAATTGATAAAGAGCTGAGTGCTTCTATAATACGTTTCTCTTCTTCACCAAAATATGCGAGACATAAGAAAGTGACTCTTTTCACTAATCATGGTGTTGTGAATAATGCCATCAGACTTTCCCCTAAGCCTTACAGTACATTTTCAACACCTGTAAGGCTTCAATAGTCAAACCACGGAAAGACAAACTCCGCAAACTTACGCAAGAACTTAAACGATCCCATCTCCTCACCCCCTCCCCCCTCCCTAGGCCCCTTAGGCCAACTGAGTTTCAGAGTAAACCCAAGAATACCCAAATAACGTTACCTCTGACCACGGCTGAAAAGTTTAAACTAAAACTGCCTGCTTCCAAATACCATTTTCCTTCCACAGAAAAATCAACAAACATGTGGCGGCCTGTGGAATAAATCACATCAGGATGGACCGTTCCGGAATATGATTTTCCAAGACGCGTTGATGCTGAATTGATACCATCATAAAAAGTGAGTCTATCAGAAGCTTTTTGAAGATTGAAGTGATTAAAAGTAACTTTCAATACATATGCTCCACCAGTGGAAAGGTCATCCGGTAATTTGAGTATCCATCTGCACCTCCATGGCAACAAACTGGCAGGAGGCAAGAGAGGATAGCCTGGACTCGTCAGTGTCTTCTTATCTGATATAGAAGCAGCAAGTGCTTCACCGTAGTAAGGACAAACTAAAAAGTACAAATACAACGAATGGTTTGCACCCAAGAGTAACAATGTGAGAGAAGTCCTGAGAAGGACCATTGTTCATAATACTGACTAATGTTTCAGAGTGCAATGCTGTAACCCCGGCTATTAATGAAAGTCTCTGGAAAGCTAGTTCACTCCTTTGGAACAGAATCCCACGCCAAATGTCAACGACTACATCACAAATAAAATCAATAGAACGACCAAATATTACCGACAGCACAAGCTGACCAATCACATCAACCTAACGCCATTTGAGTCTTACAACCAATAAGATCACGGCAAAATTGACCAATCAGTTCACAAGAACCAGACTCATGAAACTCAACAGACAACGATACTTCACCTGGCTCTGATGATGACTTCTGCTAAGGTGGTGAAATCTCTCTAGAGAGAGGAGAAAACCACCCTACCATCAACCTGAAAATAGGGCAAATGCAAGGAATTTTCCCTCAAGAAATATACCTCGTTTAAGAAAAAAATAAGGTGCTTTGAAGAAAAATTCTCTGCTCAAGAGAGGAGATATCTTATGTTGACTAAACAAAAACAAAAAAACTAGCCTCCTTCATCCACAATGGCTTAATTTCCATAGTTGCACACTTATTTACTTACTTAGTTTATTCTCTGCTGTGAAATCAGCCTTAAATCCTTTGTGATATCGATACGAGGAGTGGGAGGAATCTGATCTGAATCGCACCAGCATGTACCGACTTCTCGAGCGGATTATCCCTGGATTTGACTCACCACACAACTTTCCTTTGGCCTTACTGTCACTTCTGTTCCCTTCAAGTACCTCTACATAATCACCATAGCAACGCCATAAAGGAAAACCTGCACCCACAGACTCCATATCGAATAGCTCGAAGCTGAGTTTTACAATGTTCCCTTCTGGTACTGTAATGAGCCAGTCACAGCTCATTCCCGGATAATATTGGGAGTGATAAGGATCTCTTGGACTCTCAAACGTTCCATTAAGGCCACTTAGGTTGAGGTTGTTGTTGTTAGTGTTTCCTGGCAAACATCTGTTGTTAGGACTTGCAGCTGTGAAGAGACCATACACATTTCCTGTAAACAACTTAATCATTATAATGTGTTTTGTCCTTTTAAATTAGATCCACTTGAGATTTTAGGTATTCATTGGGTCTTTTCAACTCAGGCATATGGGACCCATACAATACCTTTGCATAGCAACAAGAGTCTATATCTTCCCTTGAGAAAAAAATTAGCAATATCAGTTTCTTCCTCTCCCCTTCAAACATACATGTCCAATACTTTTGAAATTCAATGCAATTCATACAATCCATACCACAAAATGACTATAAGAAGCTTGGGGGCAAAAATTGAAAAACTAAAAAACCCAACAGGACATGCAGTACAAAAACTTTATCATAATAATTTTTCATTTGACAGACACAACAGTAAATATGACCATACTGTCACGATGGAAATTAAAGTACAGGCAACCCATGACAAATAAACACAAAAATACCTACTGTCTTCTGCATAACCAAAGAAGTCACAAAATAGCACTAACAAACCTACACAAACTCAGGCCACAGCAGACCAGATGCTGGTCATTGAAATAGGTCTAGAGCTTCTCACCTATGCTTTAGAAAGACTAGCAGATATCTGTTTTTATCTAATTCTTTCTACATCTAATAAGAGGTTAGAATGTAAAGAAGAGGGCACCTTTACAGAACCAGTGAGCTATAAACAAAACTTGAATTAAACTCTCTCTTATATTTAATTATATTCATTATTGTTCTTATCATTTATTCTCTGTTTTTAATATAAAGATACTCAGGCACTGACTGATATGTAGGGTAATAAGTATTATCAATGGGGTAGATAACATAAATTGGCCACCATAAAGAGTCAGAAAACTGATGTTTTGAGCATGAGCCCTCCATCAGGGCATTAGCCCTTCCCTTTGAGGAACGGGTAACACTCAAAATGTCAGCTTTTAAACTCTTTACAGTTGCCAATTTATGTTATCAGCTCAGATGATACCATGTTATACTCTCCCACCGACCCAGCACCACAGTTTCTTTAGAAACTTACTCCCTTTAATCACTGACTGATATTTATCCTTTTGTGCTGAAACCAGAGTTCCACTTATTAATCACACCTCTGTTATAAGATGCAACAATCAAATGAATTTAATTAATGTCACTTACTAGTATTTTGTGCAAATGTAGTCTCAATTGCTGCCCATGATAACAAAAACAGACCTGAATAGGTATGAAATAGAAATGAATTTTTAATCAGCAGCAACTAGAGAACAACTCTGCAATTAGATTGACTATAAGACGATAGAACAAACACTGTATGAACATATTAAATGCAATCAACTTTTTGTTTGGTTTGTACCCATTTACCAGACTGAGTGTTTTTTTTAAAATCTATTTTAAAGAAGATTCATTTGATTACAGAGTTGGACTGAGAAGCATGGACACAAGGGCATAGCTAACACTCAACTCTCAATACTTTTAGATAAAAAACCAACAAACATCAGAACTCTGATCATACAGCCCTTGTTGCCAAGGAAATTCTATCTTGTTCCCAACAAAGTTGAGTCATGATAATGGGATGGTCAATAAAATTTATTTGCAAAATAATAATAACTTGATTATTATTTTGTTTATGCACAAAAGTAAGGTTTAAAATGGAGTTGGTCATATACTGGGGTTATCAACTAGACAGGTTATCAACTAGATAGTGGTATACATGTAAATACTACACATACAGTCAAACTGGAATAAAGCAGCACTGTATTAAGCAGTTACCCTGTATTAAGTGGTCAATAGTTAAAGTCCCAAAATTCTTTCTCCTCAAACACCTTAATTTTCACCTCTAAAACCCTTTACCTCCCATGAGTGACTCAGAGAATTTCTCCTTACAATATCTATACAATATCAAGCATAGAAGTGATAAGAATGAAGGAAAATATGAATTAGGGCATTGGTAGTTGATCCAATATCAGATTTTCCGAATTGACATCATAAGAATTGTATGGCAGACAATACCCTTGCGAAATGGCTTTTGGAATTCCTAGGAATTCCTAGGAATAAAGGTGTGAATTTTCACGGTAAATTCGGACTGGGAATTCCCAACCATAACAACTCTGGATCTAAAAACCTAGAAATTCCCAGAAATTCCAAGTTTATAGCTAACAGGACTTGGAATTCCCAGGAATTCCTAGGAATTCCAACTCAGAGAACCAATGACTTTCCCTGAAAAGCTGTAAATCTAAAAAATTTCTAGGAATTTCAGGGAATTTCTGGGAATTTCTGGGAATTTCTGGGAAAGCAAAAATTTGAGGCTAATGATATAAAATAAATACTTTAAATTAAAAAAAACCCAGCTAAAATTCAAGTATTCAATGAAATTTATTTAGAAGCTTAATTAAGGCTTACATGTAAAATATTTTTGATTAAATAACATCAATGTGTGGTAATATTAGGATGGAATTTGATTTATTTTTCTTTTCTTGAAAACTTCATACAGATTAATCCTCAATTACAGCTATTCATATAAAATAGTTCTAATCAATCATTAAATTTGGTTTGACACAAATTGTGAATAAAATCTGTTGATTCTTTTCCATAAAATACAATATCTTGAGTTATATTTGAAAACCAAGCACTCTTGGGAGTGAAGGGGCTAATTACAGACAAATAAAATTGATTTTTTGATTAAAATCTTGTTGTAACTGTAACAATAAATTAGAATGAAGTTATCCTAAACTGCAAACTTAGCTGCTGTTTGTACTGTTTGTATTTTTTTTCCTGGGCTCACAATGAGTTGGCCTTGAATGAGGTTGTCAACAAGAACCTTGACCATTTTGTATCTGGATTCCTTGACATCTGAATTTGAAAAAAAATAATATATTAAAATATGTATATTTAAAGCTCAGACCAGGCTTTTAAGATGGCTATGAGGAAAAGGGCATTCATTGGATTCTCAAATTGAGAAATCTCTGTTATATTGAGTGACTTTTATATTGGAGTTAGTACATCTCTCTCATGGATTTTACTAAAAAAGGGCTGAATACATTATTTTGTTTTTACCAAGGAGGGCTTCTTTATGTACTAAGGTTTGTTTAATAACAGTTCCTATTATGAATCTTGAATGTTCCCAAACGTGACTAGAGGAATCTTGAAACCTTACTGATAGGTTTATTTCATTGTAAAGCATAAGCTTAAGAAACTGCGGCATGCAAGTGACCGATTCGATTCTCAGAATTATTCTAGTTTCAGTTGCGCCGAGCGTTACGTAAGCTTAATTCAACCCGCTACATCTATTCTTTTATAAGATTTTGATCACGTAACGAATATCGCAATTTTTACTCACCACAAACTTTCAAAATCGTAGCTTTACAGATGGCCACTCGACCCTTGTTTGTACCAGTCAATATGTCAACTGTTGTCCCTTCTTTTAACTCCACGGCGCCAACGACTTTCTTTTCTTTTACAACACTCACGCTATTCTCGTTTTCCCATTGAACCACAATAAAAGCTATCTTTAGAAATGTTATATTAAGCAAAACAGTTGAGAAAAGCGATCAACCGATCCAAAGTACATTCAAAGATGAGCGCCAAATGGAGTCTTCTATGTTTCCGATCACGGGCATGATCACGTGGATGTTTTAGGACTTGTAATTGGCTAGCAAAGTGAATCCGCTGGCTTGCCGATTGCAGTGTTAAGAGAAGCGCCTAACTTTATTCTGACTTCTCCGACCGGTTCTCTGCTTCTAGAAGATGGATAGCTTGGTGATACAAATAAAGATGTGAGCTCACTCTATGTAGAAATAATCGAAAAGAATCGATCGTATTACAAATGCACGATTTGTGGCCGAAAGTTGTCGAGGAAACAAAGACTCGAAACTCACTTGAGTTGTGTTAATGGCCAAAGTGAGAAATAACACAAGCCAATCACAGTTTTGAATGCGACTACAAATCGTCTTTTACCCTCATACTTATAAAAGAAGGATACCACATTCGGAAGTATAAGAGATACATAGATGATCCCAGTGTACCAGTACCTAAATCTACAAAGCTTGACCGTAACAAGCGTTCAGCAACACGTTCCAACACCGCCATCTCGATTCCTCAGTCAGTCGTTTCCAATGAACTTAAAGCAGTATTGACAACAGAGTAGAGTGCGTCTTACAAAGGAGAAACATTTGTACAAGAGACAGGAGTAGCTATATGCGATTACAGAGGTGCGTTGGAACTCTGGTCCACAAATAGTTATGCACTGCCCGAAGTATAAAACAATCTTGTTGATAGCTGACAGACAGAGAAGAACAACAAGTAAACTTAAGAGCTGTTATTATTGAAGTGTGACTATCACTTTTCATTTTTATATAAAGAAGGACTTGTAATTTGCACCAAAAATAAAAAGATGTAATATTTTTTTGGGAGATCCAGTGATTGGGACATTTAAGAAATTAAGTTATGAAAGGAAACTTGGTTGGTACTTCTCACTACTAACAAGTCTTGTTGACAAATATTTTCAGATCAGAGTTTCAAATAAAGTAAATTGAATTGTTTTTCCTCTAAGGGAACATTGACTACCTCTGTCTTGTCTGCATGCCAAATGTTTGCAAAGTGTGTGGATGATCCACAAGTATTGGAACATATACAAAACATTTTTGTAAGAGTTCCAATACTTGTGGATCATCCACACACTTTGCAAACATTTGGCATGCAGACAAGACAGAGGTAGTCAATGTTCCCCTTTTCTTACAAAAATGTTTTGTAAGAATAAAAACAGCAAAACAAATTACAGCAATTAGTCATGAAAATAGAGCAAAAAACTGAAAAAAAAAGCAGCAACAACAATCATGAAAAAAGAAAGATTAATTAGGTGTTGAATTTGTTTGTCTAGGGCATGAAATTTCTACTAAAAGTATTGTCAACAAAAAGTCTCTGACAGCGTTTGAGGCAACTGAGCTTGACTGTTCCAAGGTTTTCTAACAAAGGCAACCAGTAATGTAGGTTAGGGAAGTAAGATAACAATGTAATTATTGTTAATTATTGTGGAAGTTGGCAATTTCCATTTAACATAACTGACAGCTGGTTCATGAGAAAATCCATATTAATGTCAAGATTTACTAAAACTTAGTTTGAGTAATAAATTTCATGATCTTTAAGTTATAAACATGTACATGTATGTATATCTCTTGGTAAGTTTTGTATAGCATACCTTTTATTGAGCCAAAGTTTTAAGCCTCTGAAATTACTCTTTTTCTTAAAACCTTCACATTCAAGGTATTGAGAATTTCTTAGAATTTATGTGGACCTCAGGGTATTAAAATTGCCTCAAATTCAATTCCCAGAAATTCCCAAGAGTTCCACACTTCTTAAATTATAGGTAGTTTGTAAAGCTGAGAATTCCTAGGAATTCCTAGGGATTCCAAGTCCTCACAAAACTGGAGTCTTCCTTTCCCAGAAATTCCCAGTAATTCCAAGCTTTTTAAATCAGAGTTAATTTGCATAGTTGGGAATTTTTGAGAATTCCTAGGAATTCCTAAAAATTCCTAGGAATTCCCAGAAATTCCCAGAAAACTGGGAATTCGGTTTGCAAGGGTCATTTGCATAATTGGGAATTTTTGAGAATTCCTAGGAATTCCTAGGAATTCCTAGGAATTCCCAGAAAACTGGGAATTCAGTTCGCAAGGGCAAGGAGAATTACTAATGATATCTTTGGAGTTGAAGGGTTAAACATTACCTCTATTAAGCAGTCATATAACCACCCTTAACTCTAAAACCAGAACCACTCAAATGAAACTAAAAACAAGTTTTCAAGTATATTTTGTCCATGTTTATCCCCAGAAATCAACACCAGTAGTATTTGTGGGTGAATTTCGTACATTAAATGTTCACATATGGCATAAAATGGCATTTTTTTTACCATACCCTTATTCTGTAGAACCTGTATTAAATGGTCAACCTGCATGAAGTGATCACCAAGCCATACCCTAGGGATGACTGCTAATACAGGTTTGAATTAAGTAGGAAATCACATAGTTATAGTAATTCATAGTAGAGCTGTCAAGAATGAGATTTGGGAACAGTCTCAAGCGGCATTGGTAAATGATCTCCAAAACGCTGTGCTAAGAAAGATTGATATGTAACGTATTACAACAGGTGCCATTGAAGAGTCGGCTGTCTTATGATGAAATAACACTGACATTCTGCAAATTAATAAATAGCAACTTAGGAAT